AATGGATGGACTGCCTGCTTTTCAGGCAGCTCTCTATGAATATCATTTCTCACAGTTGAGCTTCAGATAAAAATTAGATGGCAGGGAGTTCAAGGTGATCTTTTCCAATAATAAGCTCTGGGAATGGTGATAGGCCGTCTTGTTGATGAACAGCATATGCTTTGGCAGTCAGTAAGGTGGGAGGGACAAGAGAATGAATGTCTATCTGGCAGGGGGCTGTGATGATCAAATGTATGTGAAGGACCCAGCTCAGTGCCTGGCACCAAGGAAGACAGTGATAAACAGCAGTTTCTTCCCTTTACCATCCCTTAGTCCCTATCTCCCAGCTTCTGCTCCCCATTCCACTCTCCTCCATCCTCCCCTTTCCACTTCACCACCCCCATTTCTCCTCCCCTCTAGAGGCCACCAGAGATGGCAGTTTCCATGGTAATCAGTTTCCTCATTAGTTTGGAGTTTAATGGTCCCTGAGTGTCTGTCTGGACTGGGTTCCCGGCTCACATCAGAGGGAGCTTTCCAGTGAGCTCAAGAGCTGTTGAGAAATTGTCACACACAAGTCATCCTATTGAAGTTGTTACAATGATATTTCAGCGTAAGGAGCGAGGATGTAAAGAAATTATTTCATCTTGGGACGCCTGGGTGGCTCAGTCAGTTAAGTGTCTGCCTTCGGCTCAGGTCGTGATCCCAGGGTCCTGGGATCGAGTCCCCGTTGCCGGGGGGGAGGGGTCTCTGCTCAGCGGGGAGCCTGCTTCTCTCTCTCCCTCTGCCCCTCCTCCCCGCTCATGCTCTTTCTCTCTCTCTGATGAATAAATGAATAAAGAAATTATTTCATCCTGTCCAGGGCTCATAACTCCTGAACATCTGGAGAATTACTCTGTCCCCAACACTTGCTGGTGAGGGATTACCTCACTGGGCTGTAAGTGTTGGAATGTGTAAGGGGCTATGTGAGATTGGACAACAGGGAAGCTGTCATTGAAGGCTTTTTAATTCATCACTGAGGATTTGCTCTTCCCGTATCCTCTTACCTAGTCCTTAAGGACCCAAGGTCACATGAGTTTCCTGCTGTGTTCATGTTTGGTTTCTGTACTGACCCCTTTGTTCCTGACCCTGTTCTTACCCTTCGCCTGTTTTGTTACTCTATTTATTCATTCAGTTGCCATTCATAAGTCCTTCTATACGCCAGGCATTGCTCACTGTGGATATAGCAGTGAACAAAATAGACTAAGATCCCTAACCTCAAGGAGCCTGTGGTCAAGTGGGGAAAGACAGACACGAAAACAAGTAACTACGGCTCTTTCCATAGTTTGGCTATTGTGGACATTGCTGCTATAAACATTAGGGTGCACGTACCCCTTTGGATCCCTACATTTGTATCTTTGGGGTAAATACCTAGTAGTGCAATTGCTGGATCGTATGGTAGCTCTATTTTAAACTTTTTGAAGAACCTCCATACTGTTTTCCAGAGTGGCTGCACCAGCTTGCATTCCCACCAACACTGTAGGAGGGTTCCCCTTTCTCCACATCCCCGCCAACATCTGTCGTTCCCTGACTTGTTAATTTTAGCCATTCTGACGGGTGTGAGGTGGTATCTCATTGAGGTTTTGATTTGGATTTCCCTGATGCCCAGCGATGTTGAGCACTTTTTCATGTGTCTGTTGGCCATTTGGATGTCTTCTTTGGAAAAATGTCTGTTCACGTCTTCTGCCCATTTCTTGATTGGATCATTTGTTCTTTGGGTGTTGAGTTTGATAAGTTCTTTACAGATTTTGGATACTAGCCCTTTATCTGATATGTGATTTGCAAATATCTTCTCCCATTCTGTCGGTTGTCTTTTGGTTTTGTGGACTGTTTCTTTTGCTGTGCAAAAGCTTTTTATCTTGATGAAATCCCAGCAGTTCATTTTTGCCCTTGCTTCCCTTGCCTTTGGTGATGTGTCTAGGAAGAAGTTGCTGTGGCTGAGGTCGAAGAGGTTGCTACCTATGTTCTCCTTTAGGATTTTGATGGACTCTGTCAGGCCTTTTCTGTCCCTCCTTGCCTCTCACCTGTGTTCAGTGTTCATGGAGTTTTGTTCCCTAGTAGGGGATAGTCTCAGAAAGTTTCCCTAACAGGAGCCTAAACAGAGAGTGGGCTACTTCTATCCCAAACAATAAAGTCAGTTTCATGAAAGAGATTTGGGCCAGCAGGCCTTTCTGGGATGGGGAAAGTCCCCATGAACCAATACATTTACTCTCCTTGGAGGTAGAGCTGGGACTGCAAGTCTTCATTACAGAGGAGAAACCGGTGAGCCTATGTGTCAGTCTCGGGAGCATCTGGGGCCCTGGGCCTTGACAGTCAACCATGTCCCACAGTCATCCTCATGTGGCATTTGGCGCAAGTTGCCATCCTGGCTCAGAAGCCAATCTTGCCTCCTCAGTGTCCACAGGATTAAGACCACACTCCACGTCCCTGTGTCCAGACTCTTTTGGAGATTTGTTCTGCTGCCCTTTGCAGCCTCGATTCCCACCAGCCCCTTCGTAGAACCCCCATTCCTGCCAAGCAGGTGAGCTGCACCTACCACCCTCCACATATTTCTGTAGAGGCATCTGAGCTCCAGAGAGGAGAATGCCACATGGGGCCTCTGCTTCAGAAGAGACACCCAGAATCCAGCTGCTTCTCACCATCCTGATCACCACCAATCTGGCCTGAGCCACCATCATCTGTCGCATGGATTCCTGCCCTAGCCCCTCAAAAGTCTCCTCCTTCTTTGCTGGCCTTTGAAAGCCATAAGGCCATCCTGTTTCTTTTTCTTTTTCTTTTTTGAATCTGTCACTCAAAACCTCACAATGGTTCCCCCCTTTCAGTCAGAGTAAAAGGCCAAGGCTGCACACCAGTTGGGCCCTACCAAGCTCTCTGGCCTCTCCTTCCTCTGCTTCTCTCCTCACCCAGCTGGAGTCTTCTGCTCCTCAAAATCTGTCAGACACACCCCACCTTAGGGTCTGTGCCCTGGCTGTGCCCTCTGCATGGAGCATTCTCAGTTCAGACATCCACATGGCTCACTTCCTCACCTCTTTCAAGCCTTTGCCCAAATGCCACCTTTTCTGTGTGGCATTCCCTTTTAAAACTGTAAAGCCTGCTCTTCCTGCCTAATTCCTCCTCGCCCCCACTGGCACTCTGGATCCTTCTTACTCTGCTCAAGCTCTTTTTCTTTTTCTCATAGCACTTACTACCTTATAACACACGATAGAATTAGTTAATTAATTAATTTCTATCATCTGTCTTTGCTTAGCAGAATGTAAACTTTGCAAAAGCATGAATTTTTAAAATGTGTTTTGCTCACTGATCTAACTCAGCTGCCTAGAGCAGTCCCTGGCATATCCTATGCCTTAAATAATTATATGTTGCCTCAGGAAACCCTCCCAGTCTTTCACAGTTTCATCCACTTGACTCACAGCACACACCTGGCTAGACTTAGATGCTTTCAGACTCACACATGCCCAGAGCACATAGACACATGCTTGGAGATGCTGCTTACTGATGTGGAACTATAACTGTAAGTTGATAGCTAGACATTTTTCCCTTTGTACCTATATATGCACATGCAAAAGCCACATGTACACATGGGCAGGCATGGACTAATCACATTTTTAAAATTAAGGGTTTTTTTTTTCCTTATTTATTTGTCAGGGAGGTGGGGGAGAGAAAGGGAGCACAAGTAGGGGGAGTGGCAGGCAGAGGAAGAGGGAGAAGCAGGCTCCCTGCCAAGCAAGGAACCTGATGCGGGACTCGATCCCAGGACCCCGGGATCATGACCCGAGCCAAAGGCAGATGCCTAACCGACTGAGCCACCCAGGTGCCCCTTAAATTAAGTTTTAATATTGACTTTGAGGCACGTTTTTTGGCCAAATTCTATTTTAAAAATATTTCCAACCTACAGAATAGTTGAAAGAATTGACCAGTGGACACCCAAAACATCAAATGTTTTGCTACATTTGATTTATTGTACATCTATCTATCCATATATTTCTCTGTCCCTCCATCAATACATCTTTTAGGCATGTCAGAGTAAATTGTAGCCATCAGCATCCTTTTCCCCTAAATACTTCAGCATTAAGGAGAATTCCATATTTGTTTGCTTTTTAGGTAAAATTGACATGTAGAGAAATGCGCACATCTTAAGTATACTCTTGCTGAGCCTTGACAAATGAGTTTTTGACCTGTGTAACTCAAAGCTCTGTCAAGATGGAGAACATCGTTGTCACCCCCCAAATTTCCATCATGCCCCTTCCTAGTCAATTCGTTAGCACGGGCAACCGTCACTCTGATTTTTTCACAATAGATCATTTTTTTTGCCTGTTCTGGAATTTCAAGTATGCAGAATAATTTGATAGGTACTCACATTTATTTATTCATTCAACAACAAAAAATTATGCAGCACCTACCCTACGCTCGTAGCCCTATATCTGATGTCTGTTCACGGGGAGAAATGAGTTCTCTGCAACTGACCAAATGACCAAAGGTATTTCTAGGCATGGCCTCTGGCCTCCTCTCTCCTCCCCTGGAATCGAATTGTCATTGGGAGACCCCCCCACACAGCTGGGCCTCATAAACAGAAAGGCAGGCCACTTGGTGGTAGGGCGCCCTGGGCTCCTCGTTGTCCACCTCTCTCCCCCATCCACTCTGGCTCTGGAGATCCCTCGTCAACCCCAAGCCCTTCCCACTCACTTCCCACACCAGAGCTTCATTCACGTTTCTCTACACATGTGTGCCAGGGGGTGTCACAATCTCGGCCCAGGCTGCACCTAAGTGGGAAAAAGTGCAGGTGAGTAGACAGCTGGAAGGAGCTGGGCAAGCAGAGGCGGCGTGTGTCCCTGCCATCAAGTGCAGGGGCGGGGGTGGGGGGTGGAGACTAACTGGGGGCTGGAGAAGAAAGCATGAAGAGAGGAAACCTCAAAGGCTCCTGAGCAATAGGGGCTGGGAAGCCAAAGGAGTAGCACTTACCTGGAGACCCTGAGACCCTGAGCGTGATGCTCTTGCCCTCCAAGAAGGACCTTAAGATTGCCCTGGAGGTTTTTGCTCTTTTCCAGTGGGTCTTGAGTGCCTTTATTATGGGTGAGTCTTCAGCCTTCCGTAGGGTGACCACCTGCCCTGGTATGCCTGGGACTGAGGGGTTTTAAGGTTGAGCAAGGTTTTGAATGCCAAAACCTGGGTTGTCCCAGGCAAATCCTGATGACTGGTCACCTCAGCCTCTCACCTGACTTGCCTGGGAATGGTACTCATGAATCTCTGAGTGTAGTACACGAGGGTATGTGTGTGTGCACATATGGGCATGTGCCTAGCAGGGGTGCATCTGAGTGTGTGCAAGTAAGCCTTGATGCAAATGTGTATGGTGAGCCCTCCTGGGTCTACACTGGGGCATGCAGGGCATGTTTGGGGAAGATGGGGAGCAGTTCCATTGAGGATACCCAAGGAAAAGGACTTAGCTACAACCTCATGCACTTGAACAGGCCATCCATGGGGGAGAGCTGCCTGGTGGCAGCCGGAGGCTCTGAAAGCCCATTGCCCAGAGCAGTTCATCCACTTTCTCCCACTGTCTACACCACAAATACTTTGTGGAAGTTACATATCCACTGGACGCTGTGTTCTGGGTGCTGAAGCAAAGCAGCCCTTTGTGTGTGTGGGGGGGGCGGAGGCTGGAAAAAAAAATTCTCATTTGTCAGGTGGTCCTAGGTGAGGACAAACTGGAGGCAAGGGTACGAACCAAATGACCTTGTTAAGATATCTGGGAAGGGATATCTTAACTAGAAGGGAGGGGGGTGGGGGGATGGGTTAGCCCGGTGATGGGTATTAAGGAGGGCTCGTACTGCATGGAGCACTGGGTGTTATATGCAAACAATGAATCATGGAACACTACACCAAAACAAAACAAAACAAAACAAAACAAACAAACAAAAAACTAATGATGTAATGTATGGTGATTAACATAACATAATAAAATAAAAAAATGCAAAAAAAAAGATATCTGGGAAGAAAGAATGCAGGTAGGTCTTGGGAGTCTGGAGCTTGCCAATGAATAGGGAGAGTGGGCTAGAGGACAGGGAATGGGAGGCTCAGAGACCTGCCTGGAATGGGCAGCAGGACCCCTCTGTGCTGAAAAGAGCAGTGTTAACCTAGGAATGATTAGCAGTCAGAGCTGGAAGAGACCAGCAGAAAGGAATTCATATGTATTAGGTACTTTGTACCAGGTATTTTCACACCTATTATTTCCTTGTAGGCTCCTGCCAGCCTTATGAGGTAGAAGCTATCATTATGCATAATAATATATACTAATAGCTACACACACATAATAAGCACGAACACTCATAATATTAGCTAACATTAATTGCACCCTTTTCTCATGTCAGGCACTGTTCTGAGCCCCTTGTGCGGCTAATAACTCCATTTGTACAGATGAGGGCGCTGAGGCGCATGAGGCGTTAAGTGGTCTGTCCAAGATCACACAGTTGAGGAAGCAGAGGAGCTGGCCTGGGAGTTGAGCCCACAAGGACCCGATTCCAGCCCATGAATCTTGCATCAGCTCATTCACTGCTGATCCTCGAGGCTGGGTCTGGACATGTCCCTGGAGCACATGCTAAGCCAGAGGCATGCTCTAATTTGTAATTGCCTCATTTTAAATTTCTGTTAACTGCCCATTCTTGACCTTTGCCTGTTTTTCTCCCGAATGAGTTGACTCTTGAAGGGCACATAGGAAGTAGGTGAGGAAGGAGGAGTGTTCAGGTCAGAGAGTGGGTAACCCGAGACAAGGCTAGGAGGAGGGAGAGTATAAAGCATTCAAGGAGCTGCCAGTGGCTAAGTGGGATGAGGGCAAGAGGTCCAGAACTGATGCTCAACACTCATCGAATAAATGAATGGGAGACAGAAGAAAGAGGACGCTGGAGCAGCAGACAGGGGACAATTGTGCAGGGCACTGTCAACTAAGGACAAGAGGTTGGACTTTTTCCTGAGGGCCATGAGGAGCTGTGATAGGGTTTGGCACAGGGCGACAGCTTCAGGTTTGAGTTTTCAAGAGATCACTCTCGCTCTGTATAGCGCACTGGTTATAGGAAGAGGCCATTGCAACCATCCGGGTGAGAGAAGTGATTTGGACCAGACCAGTAGTAACTGGAATGCAGACAAGAGGGGAGAAAAGGGGAGATTGGAAAAATTGGAATAGAATTAATACAGCTTGATGATCAGAAGACATGAGTGAGAGAAACGGAAGAGGCAAGACGGAGGGCTTAGGGCCTGATGTGAGCTGGCAGAGGAGGCTGAAGGAGGGTAGTGGCCAGAAGGAGCAGGAGTACAGGAAGAAAACCGTCCCAGGGAGCCCTTCATTAGAGTCCGACTGTGGGGCGTACAGAGAGGTACTGTGGAGCAGGCAGAAGGGCTCTAGGCCTGGGCCTCAGGAGATGGGGGTTCCAGTGCCCCCCTCCTCTTGCCAGCTCACGCGGGCCGGGTGGAGCAAATGGTGCCTTGGAGCCTTCCCAGCTCTTCACCTTGTGCGTGGAATCCTATCTCTTTGGGCCCTGAAGGCCTAGAGGGGAGACCCTCATGCTAAGTCTGTGAGGAAGAGAAGGCAGACAGATATTGACAGTGTGAATCCCAGTTGGCAGATATGAAGTTCAGCGACTTGTCTGAGCTCACACCCATGGGAAATGGCGGATCCGGGCCTCATCTCACTGCCCAGGCACTCCGCCTGAGGCCACACGGCCTCGAAGATGTCCCCAACACTGTCTGGGTTGAGCGAAGCCTCGGGGAAACAGGGAGGTCTCTTCTGGACTAGACCCATGCCTCTCTTTTTTTCTCAAAAAAGTCCAATAGTCTTATAAGGAGCACATCGAAAGGCTAAAATGGCTGGTCTTAGATCTGTTCCCTAGAGGCAGCCTCTTTCAACTTTGTTAGCTCTTTCTTCTGGTATTCATCTCCAGGGGTCTACATTTTACTGCTTAACATTTCCTACAGATTACTATAGTATTTCTGACTGAACAACTTAGACGTTGTCACTGACTTCCTGGTATGGAAGATGAGAATTTGGCTCTACACACTGTTGCTGGATCTTTCCTCTTCCTCCATGCTCTCAAGACTGTGATAGCACAGGTTTTGGTTCAATGCCTATGACTAGGAACATCCCTAGCAGAGCCATTTTGTGTACTGAGAGCATGCTTCCTCGCTTGTTGCAACTTTCTGTTTTCTCTGGAACTCATAGTCCCCTCGTTTTAAATTTTTTTTGTTATCTATTAGATAGCTATTGACTACGAATTCATCTTCAAACTCTCCACAGACACAGTAACCTCTCTGTATGTGTGAACACATCAGGAACCTATAGGTCCTCCCCCGCTGTTTATTTTATGGAGGGCATGGCTACTGGAGCCCAGCATCCTCCTGTTACGCAACATGGTCTTCTTATGCATGGCTCTCCCTTCCAGGCCCCTGAGGCATCATGGGTGCACAGTTTAAGAAGGTGCTCACTCTCCAGGTTGTGCAAGTGTTGCATCAGTACTTGCTTGATCCCGGGAGTGTTTTCTTAAATTTTGTGTCCTAGGCACCTGGCTTGCTTCACCCTAGCCCTGGCCCTGGTCACTTCCTTCCTTCGTTGGCTCTTTTTGCTCCTCCTGGATCCCATGCCTTCCTCTGTCTTGGTTGACTCCCTTATCTTGATGGAGCACATCCTCCAGTAGTTTCCTGAGAAAGAGACATGGGAGACAAACCATCTGAGACCGTATGTCTGAGATCGTCTTTATTCTCCTTTCATGCTTGATTAATAATTTGGCTGCATACCGAGCATCTTAGTTGTCTGTGTCTAGTGTTAAGTGTCTGAGGCTAGAGTCTCTCTGGGTCCATTTTGCAGAGAGTAGTCCTCCCATTGTCCAACTGTGTAGGGGAGGGAAGGGGACCTGGAGCTCTAACTACCTCTTTGGTAGACTGAAAGTCAAGCCCTGTGCCTCACACTGCTTTTGTGTCACACCTGCTGGCTCGAGATTCTGAGTCTTTCCCAGATTCTCCAGCACAAACAGGCTTTGCTCTTGTGGCCATTCCCCTGGCGGGTGACCAGATTTCAATTTTGTTTGTTTGAACTCAGTTACTCCCTCCTTCATCTACTTTCCAGCATGCAGACGTTTTGCTGGTGTCTCTCATCCACTGTTGTTGGTATCTCTCGAATTCCTTTTCTCATTGCAGAGCTGTGTCTTTTAAAACACCCTTAGGGTTGATGTTTATAGCAGCACTGTCCACAATAGCCAAACTGTGGAAAGAGCCAAGATGTCCATTGACAGATGAATGGATAAAGAAGATGTGGTGTATATACACAATGGAATATTATGCAGCCATCAAAAGGAACGAGATCTTGCCATTTGCAACAACATGGATGGAACTGGAGGGTGTTATGCTGAGTGAAATAAGTCAATCAGAGAAAGACATGTATCATATGACCTCACTGATATGAGGAATTTTTAATCTAAGAAAAAAACGTGTGTTTTGCGGGGGGGGGGGGGGGGGGGGGGGGGGGGGTGGCTGGGTGACAGACTTTGGGGAGGGTATGTGCTCACCATAGTGAGTGCTGTGAATTGCGCAAGACTGTTGAATCACAGATCTGTACCTCTGAAACAAATAATACAGTATATGCTAAAAAGAAAAAAAAGAAGAAGATAGCAGGAGGGGAAGAATGAAAGGGGGGAAATCGGAGGGGGAGCCGAACCATGAGGGACTATGGACTCTGAAAAACAAACTGAGGGTTCTAGAGGGGAGGAGGTGGGAGGATGGGTTAGCCTGGTGATGGGTATTAAAGAGGGCACGTTCTGCATGGAGCACTGGGTGTTATACGCAAACAATGGATCATGGAACACTACATCAAAAACTAAGGATGTAATGTATGGTGATTAACATAATAAAAAATTAAAAAAATAATAAAACACTCTTAGGGTAATTTTCATGAGCCTTGGCAAGCAGTCAAGATAAAAAAACAAAAACAAAAACTGTGTCTAGTCTGCCATGCTCAATTAGAAGTGTGTCCTGTCTTTTCTAGCCTTTGCTTTTATCCACTTTCTCTCACGCGGTCTTATTCACAGCTGTTTTAAAAACGGAGTCCGGGGGCGCCTGGGTGGCTCAGTTGTTGGGCGACTGCCTTCGGCTCAGGTCATGATCCTGGAGTCCCTGGATCGAGTTCCGCATCGGGCTCCCTGCTCGGCAGGGAGTCTGCTTCTCCCTCTGACCCTCCCCCCTCTCATGTGCTCTCTCTCTCTCTCTCTCTCTCTCTCTCTCTCATTCTCAAATAAATAAATAAAATCTTTAAAAAAATAAAAAAATAAATAAAAACGGAGTCCGGTCATAATTCTGAGTGGGTGTGGCTCCCGAGGACTCGTCTCCATGAAGTCCATCCTAACTACTCTACCCTACAGTGCTCCTGTCTTACCGGAGCCTAACACAGCCCAGTACCTTATTGGGTCCCAGCTTGCATTGTCCTTTGTCTCTCAATTGCCAACTTGTGCGCTCCCAGCCTGGCAGAAGTTGGGTCTTCTCTTTCTCTGGTATTCCTTCCACTGATGCCTCGCAGAGATCTGGAGAAGAAAATGTGAGGTGGAGGAAAACCGTTCCTGGCTCCGTCCTTCCCGGACTCCCAGCCTCCGATGGTTAGATTGGAGCGGCCCATCGGTGGCTCCCTGCCATGGAGCACAGCCCAGAACAGGGTCAGAGCAGGTCCTGGGGAGCAGAGGGCTTACTGCATGGGGCACAGCTGCCTTCCAGATCGGAAACAGGGCCCCCAGGACAGAGAGGAGATGGAGGGCTGGGGACAGGTGCTAGGGTGACGAAGCGAGAGTGTTCAGTGAGAGTGTGTGTAACCTTGGGGTGGAGAGCCCCCAGAGGGAGGGCAAGTATGGAGGACTGTTCACAATTCATTGACTGTGGACGGGGCTCCCTCCAGGAGTCACCGCAGGCTTTGTCAACCTCTACCTGGTGCTGTTCACGCCCTACTGGCCGGTCACTGTGCTCATTCTCACCTGGCTGGCTTTCGACTGGAAGACCCCCCCCCCCAGCAAGGTAAGGGCCCCTCTGGGGCTGTGCTGTGACCGGCCACATGCTCTTCTCTCTCTTATTCTGATAGTCCTGAGAGGCTCTGGGCAATTCCCAGGCAGCCCTTTAGCCTGTCCCTCCCTCCCTGGGTTAGAGAAGCTGAGGGAAGGGGCCTTTTCAAAATGCTGCAAAGGCCCAGATCAGAACTGGAGTGGGTGAGGGGAAAAGCAGCTAAGTAAAGCAGCAAGCTAGGCCTGTCCCAAATTGGCCCTGATGTGACATCGCTCATCCCGGTTGTCACTTCCAAGGCCAGGCAATAGCAGGCGGTGAGGGGCCACCCTGTGGCTGGCCCAAAGGGGCTCTGAAGAAGATGGTGGGGGTGGGCAAAACGTGGCTACCTTGGCTCTGTTTTCAGGTGGCCGCTGGTTAGCCTGTATGAGGAGATGGTGCATATGGAAACACTACTGTGATTACTTTCCTCTCAAGGTGAGTAGGCCCAGGTCCCCCTACTGGGGTCCTGGGCCCAGCCCCAACCCTGGTGCCAGCAGTTGGGCCAGGGTGGAGGTTGGGGGCGTCATTCCATTCCCATCGAGACCCATGTGAATGATGCTCCCTGTTGTTGTGTGGTACCCAACTGCCTCGCAGGACATAGCAGCCCTTTTCCTTTCTGGTCTCTGGCTCGAAGAGGAGTACTCCTCTTTGCCTGTACCTGTCCTGACTCCACTCTCCTCCACAGCTTTTGAAGACTCATGATATCTCCCCCAACCACAACTACATCCTTGTGTGCCACCCTCATGGGCTTTTTTCCCACTCATGCTTTGGCCACTTTGCCACAGACACCTCAGGCTTCTCCAAGATCTTTCCTGGTATCACTCCTTATATGCTCACACTGGGAGTCTTATTCTGGGTGCCGCTTCTCAGAGATTATGTCATGTCTTCAGGTGAGTTGGCCCCTAAGACATAAAGCCAAAGGAAACATGGCTCCCCGAGGGAGAAGTTTTGGGGGAATGGGAGAGAGCAAGGCCAACTCGGTGGTCCTGTCTGGTCTTAGAAAGCTACCTTAGGCTCACCCGCCTGACATGAGGCTCTCCCCTCCTTTGAAGCGGTAGGGAGGAAAGTTAGGAGGTTTGGGAAGTGGCCAATGAGCTTTTAGTGTTTTTCTGCCCCCTGCCCCCCGCCCCAACCAGGGGCCTGCTCTGTGAGTCAAGCCTCCATGGATTTTGTGCTCACACATAAAGGCACAGGCAACATGCTGGTTGTGGTGGTTGGTGGCCTGGCTGAGTGCAGATACGGCTTGCCAGGCTCTACCACCCTGGTCTTGAAGAATCGGACTGGCTTTGTACGCATGGCCCTTCGTCATGGGTAAGGACAGCTCTGGTCCAGAATGGGGAGAGGGGCTCCGAGAGTCCAGCACGGAAGGAGTAAGGGATTTTGAGGAAATGATACCTAAAAAGGGAGGTGGAAAACTGCTTCTGTGCTGGAGTAGAGATTGGGCCGGGTCCTCGGGGCATTTTTCCTTATGAGGAGAGGCTAGAGGGCCAGCCCTCGGCTCTTCTCCCTCACCCTAGTGTCTTGTCTGGGCCAGTCCCTCTATAAAAGGCCACTGGCTGCAAGCTCATGTCAGAGAGAACCAAAACTGCTGTGGGAATAAAGGGGAAGAAAACGGAATGAAATGGCCCTTGGGTCTTCTCTGCCAGTGTTTCAGACCCCTGGGTTCACAGGAGGGTCTGGGACTTGCTTCCTTTAGCTTGCTGCTACTTTGCCTCCACAGGCAGCCTGGGGTAGACAGTGGGGCCCTCACACTTAGCCCGGATCTAGGCCCAGCTAAGTCACGGGCCGAGAAGCCTAGAGGCAGACCCAAGGGCCGCTGGTAGTCAGCACATCTGGCCATCGAAGGATATGCCTTTCCTCTGCTGAGTTCCTCTAATCCCTGCCTATGCCTTTGGGGAGACAGACCTCTATGATCAGTACATTTTCACTCCTGGGGGCTTGGTGAATCGCTTCCAGAAGTGGATGCAGCGTATGATACACATCTACCCTTGTGCTTTCTATGGGCGTGGCTTCACGGAGAACTCCTGGGGCCTACTGCCCTATGCCCGGCCTGTAACCGCCGTTGGTGAGTGAGCCCGTCCCCTAGGAGCCATCTCTAGGATATGGGATCCAGTTCTGGGGCTGGACCTTGGCTCCAGCCATGTCCAGAGGCAGAGAGGTGGACTAGGATGAGGGGCATGGTGGGGATAAGGGCGGGGAGACCCTGGGCTTGAGGGTCGAGGCCCATTCGGAGGAGTGAGCTATTCTGATGCTTTCCCCCTCTCCTTCTGTTTCCCCACTACCACTGCCTAAGATTGAGAACCCGAGCCAGGAGACGGTGGCTAGGTACCACGCACTCTATATCGACGCCCTGTGCAAACTCTATGACCAGCATAAGACCAAGTATGGCATCTCAGAGACCCAAGAACTGGTGATCACTTGACAGACATCACCAGCAGCTTCTCGGCCTGGCCGGAAGGTGTAGAACCTGTGAAACAGGTGAAACTAGTGTCACATGTGGGCCTCCTGCTCCTGATTTGGCAAGTCCTCAATATGAGGCTGTCCTCCAGGCCCCTCTTCTTCCTTCATCTCTCACTGCCTTCCAGCTCTTCTCTGCCTTTACCTTGGGGCTACAGGGGAAACAGCCCCAAAAGGCAGGGAAAGCCCTAGGTGAGAGGTATCCTGAAGTCTCCCTCAGGAAATAAAGAAAATAATATAGCTCCTCTTCTGATACTGCTTGTGGTCCAACTCATTGCTTTTAAGGGCCTAGGATCCCTGTTCATGGCTTTGCTTCTTTCAAGCAGCCCCATCTCCTGGCATCGAGGCTCCTGTGGAACTGGATGCCTTGAGAGACAGTGCGCTTGGGAGTTCAGGCTCCACCGCCTTCAAGCCATGTGACATGGGACAGTCTGTCATCTCTGAGCCTGAGCTTCCTCACCTGTAACACGGGACCCAGAATCCCTCCCCTGATTACCTCAGAGGCTACTGGGAAGGCCAATGATACTGAATGTGATTGACCTTTGTACATTGGACAGCTACCCCAAATTCTCCTCCTCCAATCACTTTGCCCACTTCCTATCCTTGAGCAGACTCTGTCCTCAATTTCACGGCATCTCTATGTTTAAAAGAAAGTGTACGGTGTAAGATCTTGTCAGCAGCTCTTTGAACGTTGAAGTAGCCTTTCTATAGTTGGGTGACCTTGGGTGAGCCGCTTAAACTTCCCGAGCATTGGTCTCCTCATCCGCAAAATGGGATGAGACATCATGGGGAGCTGGAGGCTGCATCTTCCCAAGCTGTTAGGGGCTCAGGCCTGAAACGTCTGTTATGGATTCTGCAGTGTCAGGCTGAGGGAACCTCCATGCTGTGTCTCTGGCTCGGGACAGCAATTCTTTCCTGCAGGCCCTCTAGCTTACTGGACAGGCAGTGACAGGAAAAGACCTAAGGTGACAGGGATGGGGGCGTGTGTGGTCTGGGGCACAGACAGGATGTGGGAGGTTCTGACAGGAACTTCAGACCTCCTTCCTTTGGTTGCCCCCTCTGAGATGGGTGCCTTGGCCCTTCCCCTAGCTCACGTGTGGCCACACTTGCCAAGAAGCACCTGGCACGTAGGAAGTGCTTAAGTCGATTTCGAGAATAGGGGGGAGGAAAAAAAGCTTTATTTGCAAAGAACGAACCATTAATTTACACAAACTTACATCCCAGTTTATATACATTATATATAGTTTATATACATAGTATCTCACACTGGATGCCGACCCCCCAAAGCAGCACGGGGCCTGCTCCAGGCCATTCTCACCACAAAGCCACCCCCCCCACCCCAGGTGAAAGTTTTTTGAATCAAGAAATGCCACATCCCGAGTCCCCTTGGAGAGAGCCCCGACAGGAGTTAAAAGAAACAATCTGCTTCCTTCTTTGTGCTCACTGCGGCCTAGGGGAGCCTCTCTGTGGGCAGGGAGGGAGGCTGAGGCAGTGCTGGGTAGCCTCGGGACTTCCTGGTATCGGGCCAGCCCCCAGAGACTTCCAGTCCAGAGACCAGGGCAGGGAGAATGCCTCGGGGCGGGAGAGAGTTCTGATGGCTGCAGCAACTCTTTCCCCTGCCTGGCGGGGCTCCTGAAGGGGGCCAAGCACTTCCAGCCTTGAGTTTGGGGGTAGAAGAAAGGAGGGGTCTGTGCGGGACAGAGACCGCTCCACCCCCTCACTCCTTTGAGTCTGCAGGTCAGGGCTCGTTCACCTTGGCCAGGTCACCTTCCATCTCTGGGCCTCTGGGTCTTGCTCTGAAGGTCCCTGACTCTATTTGCATCCACCGGAAGTTACATAAAACATACGTACTTGCCCGGGGATCCAAGTCTCCGTTTGCCTCCACGGTTCCTAGCCCTTTCTTGCTTAGGCAAAAGGAATTTGGCTCAGGATGGATGAGTGGGGACAGAAGGCAAAGATGACATTTCCCAAGGAACCAGGAGCTGAGCAGCCCCCAACAAATGCCTTGTACGCTGGCCTCGGCTGTTGAAGCCCAAGCAGCTGGCCAAGGCCCCTGCCATGCCACTCTCCTTCAAACCTCTGCCATCTGCTTGCTCACAGATGTCCTCATCTCATTCTCCACGCTAGCCCCGGCCCTCTGGTGAACTCACGGCAGCGCCATTCCAGACCGTGTATCTATTCCCACATCCTCTCGCTAGTAAATTGCTTCACCCCAGCTGTCTGTTGCTTCCTTCCTCGCCTCCTTCCCTCTAGCTCCTTTTGAGGGGTCACAATGAATACAGGGTCCTCTGTGAAACCTAGCCCCCCCCATAATCCCCTCCATAGCTGGACCTCAGGATGGGTGTCAGAATGTCCTTTAGGCCTCTCTCTTGGGCCTTTCCTCCATCAGGAGACATCCTGGCAGAACAAGGCTCTCCGTGGGATGGTAGAAAGAGCCAAGGGGTCACTTAGTAGCTGTGGGAAGTGGACCAGCTCCCGTGATCTGTCTGTAGGGTAACCGGCGGAGGCTCTTGCCCGCAGCAGGGGCTCCGTACACGACGGGGGGGGGGTGGGAGAGCATAAGGGGTACAGTTCTGTGGGTACTGGAGGCCTGCTGCTTAGACGTGGTGCCAAGACAATTCTGACCACAGGAGCTGTTTCCCAAAGAAATGCCCTACTCTTTTTGCCACAAAGCCCCCAGCAGCCAAAAGAACATCAAGGAATTACCATCAAGGAACAAAAACGCATGTGTCTGGGTTTCTCTCCGGGATGCTGAAGGGTTTGGGGTCCTTATTCCTATTTTTATTGGTTCTCTCTAGACCGCACATTCAACACAATGCTGCAGCATAATGGAATGGCTTCGGAGGCAGACCTGGCCAAAGCCCCAGGCCTGTGGCTTAAACTGGTTGGGATCCTGGGCAAAGCACTTCACCTCTCAGAGCCTTGTCTACACAATGGGGTTCATAGCATCCTCAAAGGAGATAATGAGAGAGAAAGTACCTTCCAAACCTGAAGGAGAGGATCCCTTCAGTTCTCGCTACAACCGAGGACTATCTAAGGCACTTTCCAGAAGCCTGGGCCAGACACATGCCTCAAGTTCACCCCACCTGGGGTCGCAAGGCTGTCATCAGCAGCCAGATGATGGCGGCATAACCCACCCCTGTTGGCCCAAAACCCACCAAGGGCCGAGCATTACAGTTGTTTGGAAAGGGAAGGTACAGTGGAGAAATGAATACCTGTTCTTGGTGGATTTCAGCTGCCCGAGGGGACTTAAACCATCTCCTCCAAAGGAAACTCACTTCGGGAGTGACAGTAGCACACTGTACAACGTTGGCCTTCCCCAGCTTTGGGCTGGACCCAGCATCCAGAAACCAGGCTGGCCCCTGGCAGTGAGAGATAAGGCCCTTGAATGGTCCCACTATATGATCCAGTGGGGAACTTGGGGTCGGGGGGGGTGTGGTGGGTAAGGTGTTTTTGGACCTGGCTACAGGGCAGAGCCTGGCCCGACGCCTAGCTGCTGGCTTCTCTTGAGCCTGGATTCAGGCAATCAGCACTGGGATCTCTGGTGACTCCGCTATGGCTTTCTGAAGCGAGAGTGAAGAAAGGTGGGTCAGTAGGGCATCGGCTGCTGTCCTTTTGGATAGGGCCTAGGCTAATGACCCCTTGGGTCACAGCAAACTTGAGGAAAAAAACCCCCCGCCCTATCCCACTTCTTGCCCTTTTGGGGTCAGGCAGAAAAGTTCTGCCTTGCTAATGCCCCGGGGGCAGGCTGGGGTTTGGGAATTTTCGTAGGCTATTGTGGAAGCTGCCTAAATATTCGAATTTGAAGGGACTCCTGGAGGTCATCCAGTCCAACCCTTTGCCCCCAGACACAACTCGACTAGATGAATATTTGTGTTGCTTAATAAATGGAAAAATCTCTTTGCGCCCAGGTCATCGAAAGAGTATCCCAGACTCACATAAGCACAGGTCCCAGGTAAGGCACCTGTCTTAGACAGAGGTAGGCTCTGTGGCGAAAGAAGACAGGAGTTCTGGTCAGGCTGGGAAAGGGGGCAACTGGAAGGGAACCCAGAGATTTTTCTGAGCGTGGAACATGGCTGTAAACAAAGTGAAAGGCACGTGGCCCCAAGTATGCCTTCAGGTTCTTGGGCAGGCGGAGGCGTGGCCATTCCCTGCCACTGCTCCAAGAAGGGCAAACCTCCTGTCCCCCAAAGCCCAGCAAGCTGCCGCGAGTTGGCTCTCAGCCCCAGGGGGAAGAGCACCCCCCGGCCCCGACCCTCCAGCAGGCTGCAGCGCAGGGCAGCAAGAAGCCTTCCACTACTGAGGATGCCTGCTTGGCAGGTTTCTCCCTGGGTCTCTGCCACCAGCATCCGCCTTTCCCCTCCCCACCCCTCTGCGTAGGCTTCACCACTCCCCTCCCGCCCCACCCTTGCCCCCCAGCTCTACCCAAGAGAGGAACGGCAGCCCCTAAGGGTGAGAGGCTTGCCCCCACGGTCTGGAGTCCACCTTTGCTTTCTCTTGCCTGCTGCCCCGGAAACCCCATGTTAGTGCAAGAAACAATCACTCTGACAACAGGGACCTTGAGGTTGAAGCGTTGAGCCATAAGCCAGTTGACACACGGAACCAAGGAAGAAGGTCCTCCTTCCTGCAAACTCTGGGGCTCCATCAAACATCCTGTGAACTCAAGGTCATTCTGGAAAGCCAAGCGGGCCTCATCATCCTGATGAATAAATAGCCCCGTGATATTGATCTCTGTGGCTGCGACACCCATAGCACCTCACTCCACAGCAGCACTGAGAGGTTCTGGGAGTCCCGGCTCCCAACCCTGGGGCAGGGGCGCGGGCAGGGACAGAAAAGGGGCAGGGGGAGGGAATCTAGGACGCAGGGGCCTCGCCCAGCCTGATGGCCCCAAAGAAGGTGGTGTGCTTGCTCATATTGATAGAGATGTCGGCATGCACCATCTTCACGGCAATCTTCTGCCGGGCTTTGAGCAGGCAGACCCCCGCGGTGTAGCACGTGTTGTAGTTGGTCTTGCCCGTCTCGATGCTGCGGGTACACTGCAGGAAGGGCTTCTCGTCCACCACCACCTCGTAGCTGGCAAAGTCGGTGAAGTTGATGTAATAGACCTGGGGTGAGAGGCAACAAGAAGGGATTGGGGGAGAGAGGAAGGGGAGGGTGGGGCCCTTCCCTGCGATGGACAGACAGGACCTTCTCAGACGAACTGCCTGCACACCTTGTGAAGGGGGGCAGTGCCACCTGAGGGCGTGTGAGTTGGTCAACAGGAAAGGCAAGATGATGGGCTGATCCGCTGCGCTTCCCCCACTCCGTGGGGCTCAGGGGGCTGAGCAAATCTCTTTCCAATAGCACGCCGGTTGTCAGCTCTGTGAGGGCAGGAACCAGGCCTTTCTCCCTCCGGTAGCTCTCCCAGCCCCTCCCCTGCCTTCCGCCCTGCTCGGCCCAGCCCTGGCAAGAGGCACGGTGCTCTCTGCACACAGTAGGGGCTCAGTCAGTGCTACAGACAAATGGATACAAATTGACTTCCCGTGCCGTGCCCCAAGGACTATCTGTGGCTGACCTTGGAAGTTGCTGATTCCCCAGAGAGGGCACGGTAACAACTTGCCATTTCTTCAGCTCTTTAGGGCCGGCTGCTCACTCAGCTTGCAGCTTGCCCTCCCCTGTGACTGAATTTCTCTCCCTGATTTTTGCAGTGCCCCTTGGCCCTCTGATGATTAAGGAAACACATCTGGAGAGACGGAGTGCTATACACCAGAGATAAGCTAAAGAATTTGGAAGGACAAAACCCAGGCCCCTGACTTTGTGGCCAGAGGGAGGTGCCAACCCATATTCAGTGGCCTGGTTTCAAGGGGGATTTTCCCAGTTTTCACGGTGTTCAAGGCCTGAGGCCACTTCCAATCTATTCTGGGCCCAGAAAATACCCCACCCAAGCTTTGATTCCCTACTCTCCCCTCCCCCCAAAAAAGGACCTTAGGAGAAATGGTCTATAGGACAATGAGATTATACCCATGTGCCCCTTCTCCCATAGGTCATCCTAAATCACTTTATGAAAGGTTGCTCCTCCATAGGCTCTTTGGGAGGGAGTGGTGTATTCAGGTGCCATATGATTTCTTGGGTCAGGACCCAAGCTGGGCCAGGATGCCTGGTGGGCTGAGCGAATGCTTGTTAACCCACCTTCTCTGGCCACTCTCCCGTGAGACCCTTCTGTTAGCTACGCAGTCCTTCTGTCCATCCGCCTGCTCGCTGCCCACCCCACAGAAGCCCCAACCTCAGGGCTCGTCTAACCTCTAGCTCTGAGGAGCCAACCCAGTGGAGGCAAACAACAGGGGCGGGAGTGGATGGGCAGACCTGGGGAGCAGGCGTGGGGGCAGGACACGGACAGAAACCCAGGGCCAAAAGGGCTGGGAGCATGGTGGCAGGATGGAGGAGGGAATGACAGACACACAGAAAGGTGGACAAGCAAACGGGAGAAAGAGGAAGGAAAGACCGTCAAAAATGGTTTTGAGGTGGAGAGAAAGCCTGCAGGAGCACTATTTAGCATGAAGCTAACGTGCAGGGGAAGCGGCCCTGCAACCGACCCTCCAAGGTCATATACTGACACAGAGATGGAGTTTGGCAGTAGAACCAAACAGCTCATTGGGGAAACAGGGGCCTGGGGCCCAGCAGGAGGAGATCAGATGGCAGGGTGTGGGAGGGGCCCCTGTGCTGTTTTTTCAAGGATAACTGGCCGTGGGGGGGACCCCAACCCAAATAGGCCCTTCTCTCTTTCCTCCTTTCAACTCCCTCCCAGCATAGTGCCCCCACCCCAGTCCCCTAGAAAGCGGGAAGTTAGCAGGTCTTGGCTGGCTCCACAGTGCCCCTATGTGGCCTGCACCGGATCTGCATTCTGGATATAAGAAGAGTTAGGCCTGAGACCGTACTCACTTCTACCTGACTATAGATGAAGTAGGTGCCGTCCACCAGTACCTCCAGCTCCCCGCTGCGGGGATGTAGCTTAAACACCTTGGGGTTCATGGTGATGCGAGACCAGTCATTGAGCACTCCACCTGAAAGATCTCAGTATGAGAGAAGGGCAGTCACTCAGTACATGTCAGAATAATCTGGGCAATAGAAACAAGAGACATCGAGCGGCATCCCCTCCACCCCACCCCTATCCCAGTGTGAAGTGGAGAGCCCCAGAGGCCAAGCTTTAAGAACAGCATTTGGAAGCAGAGAAAGCGTTCTGTTTGTCAAGCAGCTGCCAGGCCTGCCTCAGGCCCCTGGGGTCCAATTGTCTGTCTCCCTCTCTCCTTTCCTGACCCCTCCATCTGGTAGGGTCTTTAACCAACACCTAGCTGGAGTTGGGGGTGAGGGCAAGAAGAGAGTGGGCATGCTGCCCTATTTTCATTGTTGTTCTGGGGCCTGCGCAGGCAAAATTCAGACACTGAGTGGCAGGCTAGGTCTTATTATTCCATTCTATTTCTCTAGCCATAGCTCCTGAATCCCTCCCCTGTGTCTCAGGTTCGTGGGTTTTGTTCTTCTTTCAAGATTCCTTTTTACAGTTCCTTCATGCCCACTCCTTTCTGGAAGGCTTCCCTGCCTCCCCCCTCCCCGGCCCCCGTCCCCCAGGAAACCACTCAGTCCAAGGAATTGTCTATCCAGAGAACGTTAGGGTTCGGGGGTGAGTCAGACTTCACGGCAGCTGGATTGAGTGGTCACCAGTACTAAGGCCCCATAGGAGAGGGGGATCTTTACGAGAGTGAGGGATAGACCACCAAGCAGCCCAGGGGCTGGCGAGGGTGTCTGGGAGCCGAGGCACCTCTGGTAAAGCATCTGTCAGCCCAACCCCATTGGGGGCAGAGGGGGAGTCCTGCCACCTTTGCTGGACAGTGAGAGCCAGTATGTGAAGGTGGAGGAAAAGCTTCCCTTTCAATCCTGCAGAAAGAGGGATGTTCCTTACTACCACTGGAGGAGAGAATCCAAGCCCTGGGGGCCTTCTCCCCTCAAAACCCTCCATGCTCCACCCAAGAAATTATGTTGTGAATGTCCATCTTTGGCTAGTCTCAGGAGGCCTGCCTCTTGGAGGTGTGAGGAAACTGGCCTTCTGGAATAGGTGCTCATCGTCCCTCGAGGTGATAGTGGGTGGGGACAGGAGTTCGGAAGAGATGCCCTGGCTCAGCCCCTCCAAGTGACTGCTCTGTCCCCCTCCCTTCTGTTTTTGGTGCAACTAAAGATCAGCATTGGCCCCGAGGGGTTGGAACCAGTCTTGTTGTGTGGTAGTGGGAGCAAAATCCGTAGCTTCGGGCATAGACTAAGCATGGAGGCCACACGTCCACCCAGACAAGTCTATTTCCTGCCTGTCTCACTGCTCCCTGGACAGAGGGTGATTATGGCCCATCCAGGGCCCCAGGGCCCAAGGCCCCTGGTCCCAGCAGGATGCCTTGGGTTTTTTTCTACTATTCTGTTCCAACTTCTACTTTGGAGGCCATTACATTTCAGGCATCCAGGTGGCAGTCCAGGATGTGGCTAAGCCCAATCATTAGGGCAGCTCAGCACAGCCAGTTCGGGACGGACTGGGCTCTTAGGAGCTGTCCCCATGCATCAGGTTTCTTAAACTTCATCTACTGTTTCTGCACTCGGAGCCCCTCCCTTCTGCTCCACGCTCCATAAGCGTCTGGCATCTTGGCTGGCTCGCTGCTTCCTGAGGCTCCTGGGGGTTCAGGCGTTTTAGGCTGTGTGCACCCTGGGGACTGGACATTATTTCAAAGTGCTGTTCTTTAATGAATGTTCATGTCTCTTCAGGGAAGAAATTGAACCTAATCTTTCAGTGGAGTGTATGCACATCACTGAAGTAGCCCAGTGCCGTGGAAAGAGACAGACATAGCTTTGAATCCCAGCTCCTGCGCTTAACTGAGCTCTTGGGCCAGTTAATTTAACTTCTCTGAGCTTCAGTTTCTATTTCTTCAAAAAGGAACTAATAGCTACATCATAGGGTTGTTGTGAGGATCACATGAAATGAAAGACAAGGGGTGCTTGGGTGGTTCAGTCGGTTAAGTGTCTGCCTTCGGCTTGGGTCATGATCCCAGGGTCCTGGGATCGAGTCCCGCATCAGGCTCCCTGCTCAGCGGGGAGCCTGCTTCTCCCTCTCTCTCTGCCCCTCCCCCCTGCTCGTGCTCTCTCTCTCTCTCTCTCTCTCAAATAAATGAAATCTTTAAAAAAGAAAGACAAAAGAACGCATGTTGAAAACTCCAAAGGACAGTCCAAATATAAGGCAGTATGATTTCTTATGGTATTATCCATTCTCGCTGGGACTCTGGTTCCCCATCTTTTAAATGCAGGGATTACATTAAGTCAGTTTTCTTTTTAAAAAAATTTTTTTATGGCTTCGTCTTGTTTCATTTATTCCACTCTTCCCCCATGATCCTCTGCCTTGTTTCTCAAATTCCACCTATCAGTGAGATCATATAATTGTCTTTCTCTAATTGTTAAGCCAGTTTTCTTAACCCCCTTAAACCTGTTTCCCCTTCTTATAGATATTAGCATCTCATACTCCCTGGAGAGTCTGACATGCATTCCCCCCCTCCGCCCGCCCCAAAATGCTTCCTCCACCCGCTTATTGTGGAGACCCATCAGACAAGAAATTAATTTTCTGTAGTTTTACCTTCTCTAGCTTGTATTGTGAAAATGTTGATCAAACTACACATATCCCCTTGGTGACGCTGATACAACCTCCACCTGCCAAGAGATCCCTAATTCCATGATGTCTCAAAGTCCTTTTCGGCTTCCTCATCAGTGATTCTACATGCAATTTGTGTGTAGCGGCTGGTCTAGGTGCAAGCAATTACCCAGGACAGCCAGTAGAGGGCAGACTGCGCAGCGAATGGCTGCTCCAAGGGTACTCCAAGGGGCCCGGGAGGAGCTAGGCTGGTGACTCCATGAAGGCTGCCGCCGCCAAGGAAGATGGAGAAGCTCCTCTTAGGGGAGAGAGCCTACTTTGACTCTTACCATTCTTGACTTGAATTGCTGACCCTTGGCCCTGCAGATGCACCACAGCTGGCTGGGGGGATGAGAAGGACAGAGAGAGTAGTCACTGAGAGAAATGGCTGCCCACTCAGCCACCAGTTACCATGTTCCCACCTCTGACTTCCAGTCCGCTTTCATTTCCCAACTCGGATCCCTTTCTCCTGTCCTGGGATGCCAGCGACCACATCTCTGCAGGTGGCTGATGTGATCTACAGCTCCGCCACTTCCTGGCTACATGACCTCAGCGGAATGCAGTGCCTCAGAGGAGCCTCATTTCCCTGACTGTGAAATGGGGATTTTAAGAATCTCTGTCTGGCCTCTCTTACAGGGATGTTTGAAGATCAAATGAGGCGATGGATGTAAAATTCCCTGCAAGCCATCGAGCACTGTGCAGCTGTGTAGATTTATGACTGTGGCCAAACAGCTGTCGTGAGGGAGGGAGGCTGAGATGAGAGAAGGCAAGGCCGCAGAATTTGCCAATACAGACAGATTAGGAGGCTCCAAGACAGGGAGGAGCCCTTCAGGCCCTGAAGGCAGAAGCCCAGGCTGGGTTTGGCCTGGAGCTGGTTGGCTGATTTTCAAGCTCCTGATCCCAGGCGGTCTGAGTGCCGACAAGGTGTCTGGTGTGGTTGCGAAGTCGGAGGCTCAGGTGGATAGGCCTGACTGGCAGCTCATTTCACAGGACGACTGAGCTTGGGTATGGTGACCTTCTGTCTTCCGTGCGATGGGGAAAAATGGAAAAATGGCCGTGGCAAGACTGAGTTAAAGGCAGGCCCTGAGGCAAAGCTTTTCTATTCCTAGAGATGGGAGTGAGCAACCTCGGGACCTCTAGGGCATCCTCACAAAACAAAGCCCCAGCAAATTTAATCGGGAGCCACTAGAAGGTGGTTCTAGCCTGGTGGCCTTCCCTCCTCCCCAGGAAGAGAGCAATTCCCAACCAACCTGGTTTTCTCGAGGTCCAGCTTTATCAGCAGCACCTGCAAAATCGGACAGGGCAATCAGAGGGCATGCTCCTTCTTCCCTTTCTCTCCTCAGCTAGTCAGCGAGTGGCGGTGAGCCTGGCTCTGGGCAGCCAAGCCCTGGGAGGATGGGAGAGGAAACTACTTCCCTTCTCTGACTCCTCCCTGACCTGCCTCTTCAGTGGGCCCAGCGTCCAGCAGGGACAGTGGCCTCTCACTAACGTGGGCCCCAAGGCGAGCCTCACCGAGCCCCCCGTAGAGATAGCGGAGTGTGTGTTCCTGCCACTATGGGATCCTGAGACAGTGCCGTTTGCTTCTTTAGTCTTTCGCTCCCTTTCTTGCATGGTCTTCATAGACAGCATTGCCATTTGTAAATATCTTGCTTCTTTGATCATCTCTCTCCTCCCCTGGGACACAAACTCCATGAAAACAGGGGCCACTTATCGATATATCTCTTGCACACAGCAAGGGCTCAGGTTCCGTGGAAAGATGGGGATACAAAAAAAAACACCAAACCCATCCTCTAACTCCATCTCTTACGGTCACAGTAATGCTGATTAGCCCAATTTGAACTATGAGTCAAAGGATCTGAGTCCAGCTACAGAATTTTTGGACCTAGAGAAATCAGCTGTGTAAAGAGTCCATTTCCTTGAAGCCCCAAGATCCAAGAAGGGAGCAGGAGGAGGAAATAACAACAGACCTAAGCTCTGGCAGCCTGACTCCTGTCAGTTCCAATCAGGCAGGTTTGGATTGGCATCTGTACCTTTTGGATGCCCGCCTGGACCCAAGAGGAACGATGCAAACAGATTCAGCGCTATGTGAACGTGCAACGTGGTGGCATGAGGCACTTGGCTCCTCAGTCTTAGCGACCGCATTTGCTTCTTCCCCAGCCCCGGTGACTTGTAAGTTTCCAACTCCCTGGTCACCAGCGACCATTTGTCTACCTCTACGGGAAAGGCACTTCAGAGTTCATGGGATGAGACTGTTCTAAGGCTTGTCATTTCTCCCAGTCCCCAACCTTCCTCTCCATAGCCTGTTTCCAATCAGACGTAAACATGCAGTGCTAGATGCTGGAAATCAGTGCAAACCAAATCCATCCCCCACTGGAGATCTAGTGTAAACCCTCTGGGGCCTCTGGCTCTGGCTCTGGCTCATGGGAGTTTACTGGCTCACTACAGAAAGGCCTAGAGTCAGGCAGGTCTTTGTGATGGAAAGGTCAAGAGCAGGTGGCCTGTCCTTGACAGGTTGGTATACACAAGAAGTTAGAGTAGGTCAGGCCCTACTGGCTTGTTCAAGGTCTAGCTCTCCACTGAGCTAGAGACCTGCTTTTCTTAATGCTCACCAAAGCCATGACTGCCATCGGAAACTGCCCTCAGGATCACCCACACCTGCTCTTGTCAAGTACTTGCAAGGAGCCTAGGGGCAGGTGGAGAGACAGAGGAACTCACCGGAAGGTCCCTGTAGGCCAGGGGGTCCCTGAGGACCAGGTGGACCTGGAGGGCCAGGTGGTCCCATCACAGTTGTTCCTGGAATTCCAGGAATTCCTGGAATCCCTGGGGGTCCCTGGGGTCCTGGAGGTCCTGGAGGTCCCGGAGGGCCATTGGGCCCAGGAGGTCCTGCCTTCTTTCCTAAAAGACAAGATTCAGTGTTACATTTGTAGTCATTGACTGATAACAAACATATTGTCAGGAGTTCTCCAGATTTCCAAGGACACGAAGTCAGCCCTTTGAGAATTCTGGCTGTTAAAGAGGTGAACACCTCTATTATACAACACACACACACACACACACACACACACACACACACACACACACACACACAAACACACACACTCTCCCTATCCCCTTTCATGAATAATTACTTCCAGAGCTGGTTTGAAGATATAGAAATAAATGACCCTCAAGGAGCTCAGTCTACTGGGGAAACAGACACAGTCACAGGAGACTCTAAGTGCCATATGAGTAGTAGGGACAAAATGCTTAAGAGGTCAGAGAAGGTTTCAAAAAGGAGGTTACCTTTCAGCCAAGTCCAAAAGATTAGAATTACCGGACCCGTGGGTCACTTTTTTGAATTGAGCATTGGGCTATCGTTAAAGAGTGTGGCTTTCATGTTTACCGCCCAGTTTGGAGGACTTGATGCAGATAAGAGGGAGCTAGGAGGACAGCCTGACCCTGGGCATAATATCAACACCAGGAAGGTTTCCTATAGAAGTTGGGATGAGGGGCGCCTGGGTGGCTCAGTCGTTGAGTGTCTGCCTTCGGCTCAGGTCATGATCCCGGGGTCCTGGGATCGAGCCCCGCATTGGGCTCCCTGCTCCGTGGGAGGCCTGCTTCTCCCTCTCCCACTCCCCCTGCTTGTGTTCCCTCTCTTGCTGTGTCTCTCTCTGTGTCAAATAAATAAATAAAAATAATTAAAAAAAAAGAAGTCGGGATGTATAGGAACTAGGGGTTGGTATAGAGGTGGTGGTAGCCGGGAATGAGGAATGGAAGGAATTTGGGAGATGAGAGGTGGGGGGGGGGGGGGGGGGGGGGGGGGGGGGGGGGGAGAGAGATTGAAGGAAAGAAGGGGAGGTGGAGAGTAGAAAAAGCTGAGGAGGCAGTTGGCAGGTTTTTGCTTTCTCGGCTGACCTCTCTAAACCCTATTTTTAAAGATCTCTGGGAAAGGCAATTCTGTAAACTCCCTTGGTAACATGTTCCTGTGTTTAGCACCCCCTCACTGTTAGGAAGATCTTCCGTATATTTAGCTGAAATCCCTCCTGTGGCAATTTAAGCTTCTATTCTATTCTTTGTGAAGCTAGAGAAGAATAGTTACCATCCTACACATAATAACCCTCATATGCTCATAGACATTAAGTCACCTATCCAACCTCCATTTTTATAGGCTGAATAATCCGGCTTCCCAGAATCTTTCCTCTGAGGCCCTATTCTCCAATGTATTATTAATTAGGCCCACCACCTCCTCCCTTTTTTTGCTCACTATCTTTTCAGAACAATCCTGGCCCTTCTACTCCATATTCCAGTCCTTCCAACATTCTCACCAGGATGTAGCTATTTGACTGAGTCATAACTGTGGTCTTGTACCAAAACCCGCAGCTCCTGTTTACTTCCTCTGCTCTGTGCAGCCCAATTCATGCACTGCAGGTGGCCACAGGGAGGGGGGTGTCTTCTTCCCTTCACTACTTTCTCACAATCTTTGGAAATCCCAGGTATAGAAGGCTTCGACCAGACTCCACGACAGTATCTCCACCCGCGCGGTACTGTCTTAGTTTTACATGTAACCCTCTTAAGTCTCACTTAAATACCCCCTTAACAACTCTGACTCCTTGCTCCCCAGCCTCTTAAGCAGGAGAATCCTGACCTATCAGGCCCTCCCTTATAAATAATGCCTCATGTTCCAGAAACTCAATCCCCATGGCAATGCCATTCAAGAGGCCAGCTGTCCATGTCTAACCACATCTGTGTTTGGTATGAAACAGTGGCATCATTGTGCAGCTCCTGCCCCAGGGATACTCCCTGTAGCCTTAAAGACCTAGAGGCAGGAAGGAACGTTAGCATTTTCCCTGTGCATAGCAGCAGCAAAAGATTGGATCTGCCCAGTTTCTAGATTAGCCAATTTCAAGAGGCTGAACAGGAAAGCCATCTCCCTTCAGATTTGGGCAGCTTCCAAGTCAGGCTTATTCAGTGCCCAAGTTTCAATTCCAGCTAGAGCAGTGGAAAGAACACAAAATCTGTAGTCAGGAGATAAGGCTGTAAGCCCCAGCTCTGCCATGGATGTACTCTGGGCGAATCCCTTTCTCTCCCTGAGCCTTAGTTTCTCTATTGGTGAAATGAGGAGTTCGGCCTTGATGATTTCTGTTTCCTCCCAAGCTTGAGGTTCCATAAGGAAGACTGACTTACCCTTGGCAGTCAGGAAACTTCCCTAGGCTGGTTTGCTTCTCCCTCATCTTCCTCTGTGTCTACTCGCATAGGCACAGAGGAAGGTGCGTATTAGACTGGTCTATGTCCCAGAATTTCCAGGCCTAACTGATTTTGAAGCTAGAGGGTGTTCCGTGGGTAGTACAAACTTCAGTGTCAAGACTGTGACTCTCCTGTGATCGCTAATGTAATTTTGGAAGAATTACAGCCAGAAACTCCTCTAGTCAAAGAGAATAATGGTTGCAGCATAAACAGAGGATGTTCACTTATGAAAATGTTAGAAGGCATTTGGGAAAAAGCTCCTGCTGTGCTCTAGTTCTGCAGCTGGTCCTCTTTGCTCCTCTGTAACTAGGTTTAGGCAAGTGTGCTTCTCACACTTGCATACTTACAGAAACTTGGCCCAGAGAGGAACATGTACAAAATGACCCCTGGACAAGAGGATGACTTTAGAGGATTGAATTCCTTCTCCAGATCTCCTTACTTTAACAGAACACTTCATGATACAAAAGCCCGGAGACTTCTCTACTTAGAAAATTATCTGGTGCAGTCTTAGATGACAGAATGTTCACATTCTTTTCAAAGCTAAACTTCGTAAAAGGGGCATTTCCCTAACCTTTTAGTGAAGGCCAAACTGTTGAAAGAACAGATAAAAACAAGTGTGAATGAAAGTGAGGGCGGGGGGGAGGGAGAGGGAGGGAGAGAGAGGGAATGAACATGAGCAAGTTAGTTGTAGGAGGGGAAAATTCTATTAAAGATGGAAATTAAATGAACAACTCAATTTACCTCTTCAGGCATGTGCCTATTCACTGTGTCCAATGAAGTCTGTATTAAATGGCTTCTAAATCACTTAGAGTCAAAGTAAATGTTTAAGGCCTATGTGCATCCTCCTTCTAATAATGGCTCATATACCAGGTAGCAGTGCTGGGCAGTGATCCGAGTCCCTGCCAGAGGCATTGGATTCTCTGAATTGTAATCACAGGGCTTCTAGCCTAGACAATTGTCTTCTGTCATCACTAGCAAGTATGTTCTCTCAGTGCTCACTCATTGAATAACACTACAACTGGGTGTCATTCCCTACCACACAGATGACCCACACTTTGGTACATCACTAGTCTACTTGCTGTTCCCCCAAACAGGCCATGTTCTTTCATGCTTCTGAGGGATTTGAGTATGTTGTTCCCTTTGCTGGAATGTCCTTCCCCCTCCTTCCCCCCCCATCCTTCAAAGCCCAGGTTAAATACTGTGTTTTTTTCTTTTTCCCCTGAGATGTGGTTCCTCATTCCCCCAGGGAGAACTACTTGCTCTTTCTTTGTGCTCCCACCGCATGCTGTTCATGCTTCTATGATAGCATTTTTGATGCCGTACTGTAATGATTTGTGTGCACTTCCATGATTCCAGCTACACTGGGATCATGGAAAAAAAAAGATAAAGAAAAGTGGTACTTTTCTTTATCTCGGAATCTCTATTCCTAACAGATATAAGATGCTTATTCACTGTCTAGTGACTGAGTGAAAAGAAAAAAAAAAACTAGTTGCTATAATTAGAAAGTGTTCCCAAGTCTACCTATTAAGAAGGGAAGTCACCTGTGGACTTGTTTAGGAGCAGAGGGTGTCCTTGTCAAAGCCAGGTGAGCTTTCTAGGTTTATTATAATTTTCATTTTAAAGGGGATGTGATAAAAGTTAAAAATAACATGCTTGATAGAGTAATCAAAACAGGATGGTACCAGCACAAAAATAGACACATAGATCAATAGAACAGAATAGAAAACCCAGAAATGAATCCACAATTAATCTTTGACAAAGCAGGAAAAAAATATCCAATCAGAAAAAGACAGTCTCTTTAACAAATGGTGTTGGGAAAACTGGACAGCTACCTGCATAAGAATGAAACTGGACCACTTTCTTACACCATACACAAAAACAAATTCAAAATGGATTAAGGACTTAAATGTGAGACCCGAGGGGCGCCTGGGTGGCTCAGATGGTTGAGCGTCTGCCTTCAGCTCAGGTCATGATTCCAGGGTCCTGGGATCGAGCCCTACATCGGGCTCCCGGCTCCGCAGGGAGCCTGCTTCTCTCTCTCCCTCTGTCTCCCCTCCTGCTCATGCTCTCTCTCTCTCTCTGTATCTCTGTGTCTCAAATGAATAAATAAAAATCTTAAAAAAAATGTGAGACCTGAAACCATAAAAATCCTACAAGAGAACACAGGCAGTAACTTCCTTGACATTGGCCATAGCAACATCTCTCTAGATATGTCTCCTGAGGCAAGGGAAACAAAAAATACACTATTGGAACTACTTCATAATAAGAAGCTTCTGCAAAGCAAAGGAAACAATCAATAAAACTAAAAGGGAACCTACAGAATGGGAGAAGATATTTGCAAATGACAAATCTGATAAAGGGTTAGTATCTAAAAATCTATAAAGAACTTTTCAAAGGCAATACCCTCAAAACAAATAGTCCAATTAAAAAATGGGCAGAAGACATGAATAGACCCTTTTCCAAAGAAAACATACAGATGGCCAGCAGACACATGAAAAGATGCTCAACATCACTTATCATCAGGAAATGCAAATCAAAACAATAATGAGATATCACCTCACACCTGTTAGAATGGCTAACATCAACAACACAAGAAACAACAGGTATTGGCAAGAATCTGGAGAAAGGGGAACCCTCTTGCAACCAACCCTGTTGGTGGGAATGCAAACTGGTACAGCCACTCTGGAAAACAGTGTGGAGGTTCCTCAAAAAGTTAAAAATAGAACTGTCCTGCAATCCAGCAGTTGTACTACTAGATATTCACCAAAGGATACAAAAATGCTAATTCAAAGGACTACATGCACCCTGATGTTTATAGCAGCAGTATCTACACTAGCCAAGTTATGGAAATAGGCCACGTGGCCATTGGCTGATGAACTGAGAAATAAGATGTGGCATATATATATACAATGGAATATTGCTCAGCCATAAAAATGCATCCATTGCAATATCATGGATGGAGGTAGAGAGTATTACGCTAAGTGAAATAAGTCAGTCAGAGAAAGACAAATACCATATGATTTCACTCATATGTGGAATTTAAGGGAAAAAAAGTGAACAAATGGGAAGAGAGAGAGAAACCAAGACACAGACTCTTAACTATAGTCAACGAACTGATGGTTACCAGAGGGGAGGAGATGGGAGGATGGGTGAAATAGGTGATGGGGATTAAGCAGTGTACTTGTCATGATGAGCACTGGGTGATGTGTGGAATTATTGAAGCACTATATTGTACACCTGAAACTAATATAACACTGTATGTTAACTGGAATTAAAATACAAACTTAAAAAAAAGAAATGATCTATCAAGCCATGAAAAGACATGGAGGAACTTAAATGCGTATCACTCGGTGAGAGAAGCCAATCTCAAAGGCTACATACTGACATTTGGGAAAAGGCAAAGCTAAAAAGATAATAGAAAGATCAGTGGTGGGGGACATCTGGGTGGCTCAGCTGGTTAACTGGCTGCCTTCGGCTCAGGTCATGATCCTAAGGTCCTGGGACTGAGTCCTGCCTCTGGCTCCTTGCTCAGTGAGGAGCTTGCTTCTCCCTCTGCTTGCCACTCCCCCTGCTTGTGCTCTCTCTCCTTTCTCTCTCTGATGAGTAAATAAATAAAATCTTAAAAAAAAAAAAGAAAGATCAATGGTAGGATGCCTGGGTGGCTCAGTTGGTTAAGCATCTGTCTTCAGCTCAGGTCAAGATCCCAGGGTCCTGGGATTGAGTCCCACATCAGGCTCCTTGCTCAGTGAGGAACTTGCTTCTCCCTCTGCTTGCCACTCCCCCTGCTTGTGCTCTCTCTCCTTTCTCTCTCTGATGAATAAATAAATAAAATCTTTTTTTTTTTTTTAAAGAAAGATCAGTGGTGGGATGCCTGGGTGGCTCAGTCAGTTAAGTGTCTGTCTTCAGCTCAGGTCAAGATCCCAGGGTCCTGGAATGGAGTCCCGCATCGGGCTCCTTGCTCAGTTGAGACTACTTCTCCTTCTGCTTGCCATTCACCCTGCTTGTGCTCTCTTTCTCTCTCTGACAAATAAATAAAGTCTTAAAAAAGAGAAAGATCAGTGGTTGCCAGGGGCTAGGGGGAGACAATGAGGAATAAGCAAAGTAGAGATGGTTTTTAGGGCAGTGAAACTATTTCACAAATACTGTAATCTATGGGAATCTATGTCACTATGCATTTGTCAAAACCCATAGACTGTACAGCACCAAGATGAAGCCTAATGTTAACTATGTACTTTGAGTGATAATGATATATCAATGGAGGTTCATCAGTTGTAACAAATGTACTACTCTGGTGCGAGATGTTGATGGTGGGGGAGGCTGTCCATGTGTGGGGCAGGGAATATATGGGAACACTCTGTACTTTCCCCTCAATTTTGTTGTGAACCTAAAACTGCTCTAAAAAACAAACTATTAGGGGCGCCTGGGTGGCTCAGTCATTAAGCGTCTGCCCTTGGCTCAGGTCGTGGTCCCGGGGTCCTGGGATCGAGCCCCGCATCGGGCTCCCTGCTCGGCGGGAAGCCTGCTTCTCCCTCTCCCACTCCCCCTGCTTGTGTTCCCTCTCTCGCTGTGTCTCCCTCTGTCAAATAAATAAATAAAATCTTAAAAAAATAAAAAACAAACTATTAGAAAAAAACCGACATGCTTAAAAATCAAATTTACTTTCTTAAATACATAATATTTTGGTGAATGCCCAGGCCCAGTGGAGAAAGTTTTCCTCATTGACCCCAGCTTTCTGGCTGTTTTCCAACTTTGCTCAGATCAGGTCCTCAGGAGGCCAGGCCATTCCTCAGCTTCTTTACAACAGGGACATAAGTTTTCCATGTGGGCCATGGTACTGCAAGTCACCAGACTACCCTAGTGCTCAGAGAAGTGGCAGGCCACAGCTGAAGCCAGTCTCTTTGGTCTACTCTGCGATTGATAATCTATTGTATAAAGCTCCAGAAATCTTAACAGAGTCATTTTACTTAAAGCATTTTATTTTTTAAAAGATTTTCTTTACTTATTTGAGAGAGAGAGAGAGAGAGAGAGAGAGCGAGAGCAGGAGCATGGGGGAGGGGCAGAGGGAGAGGGAGAAGCAGACTCCCCGCTGATCAGGGAGCCTGACCCAGGGCTCGATCCCAGGACCTGAGATCCTGACCTGAGCTGAAGGCAGATGCTTAACTGACTGAGCCACCCAGGTACCCCTACTTAAAGCATTCAAATGAAAAATCATTATTTTCACTTTATTTTCTTCACACGTCAGAGCACAGAAACAAATAGTTACTTAAAACTGGTTTTGTAGTTGGCTTCTTTTTTAGTCCTAAGGAGTGGACCATATTGCCTAATTCTGTCTTTTGGAACTTGTTCTGGTTTTGGGTTCTCCTCTTCAACTATGCAAGTGCTTGTACAAGTTCTTGGGCCAGTCCTGTTGCAAGTATATCAGAAACATAATGACCCAACAATGGCACAATGGATCTGCTCAACCAGAAGCTTCTTTGAAAGGACCAAAAGATCAGGGTATTCCTTCAGCTTTCTTTTTCCATCACAGAGAAAATGATATTGAAACCACAAAGTAAGAAATACCCTCCCTGGCTAAGGCATAGGATAGGGATAGCTTTAAGGCCAAGAATAGGGTACTGACATTTCTCAGGAGGTAGTATACCTCGTCCCCACAAGTATAATTAAGTTAGGACTTAATTTATACATGATCAGTGATTTGATAAAGGAGGGCAAAGAAAGGAAGAAGGAGAAGGACAGGGGAAAGAGTAAGGAAGGATGAAGGAAAGAGATGTAAATTTAATTGTACAAAAGAGGGAGGAAGAAAGAAAAATAAAAACAACTTTCATATGCAGCTAGAGAAGCACTTTCATGGCTCATCACTGAAAAACAAATCTCTATTTCTTGTCTCATGGAAGCTACCATACTCAAGGTCACAGGCGATTGAATAAAACAATGGACAACCAACACTGAAAGAATATATAAATATCCTACTCCCTTGGTTTTTCTTTCCTTCTAATTTTAGAAAAGACATGAGAACAATTTTATAAAATCAGGAGCTTAACTCACCCTTTTTCTTGTTTTTAACTGGACCTGTTAAAAAAGAAAAAGGAAAATTAAGTCATTGGAAATTAACAGAAAGTGTTTATTCTCCAAGACAGTCATAGGAGAAACTCCCAAGACACTGCAGATTTTGAGGGAGGCCCACACCAAGGGTCAGGTCATTGGCAAGGTATCTCCCAACTATCAGACCTCTCCAGTCTGTTTCTATTTTTTGAGTGTTGTAACAAGAACGTCACAAGAAGGATTCTTCCTTAGAAAACCCTTTCAGTCTCAGTCTTTGCAGTGAGGGAATGGTTACTTCTTCATAGAGATGAAAGGCCCATAAACGCAGAACTCAACAACCTTAGGACGGCATTCCATTAATTCTGCGAGTCCTGAGATTGAAGAGTCATGCATTCAGGTGAAGAACCGATATGAAGTCTCCTGCATTGAAGCTGAATGGAAAAGAGGGTCATTTTCATGGAAGGAGCAGAAGTAGCAGCAGGTGACTTTTTAGTCACTTACTGTGATTTAAATTGTTAGTTATTAAAACAGTGTGATCATAATACATTCATGTGGGTACCACATGCACTCCCATTGTAATAGACTATAAGTTAACAGACACTTTTAAAAGAAGTGCCAACAGTTTCACTGACAATGAAATCACAGGCATTTTCTTGGAAATTCCTTCTAAAGAAAACAATTCTAATCGATTGAGGACACTCAGAAAACCCAAGGCTTTTGTTACATGGTTAGGTAACAACCACTCCCCCCCCCACACACACTTTAGGTTTTCCCCCTCCTGGAGACCCAATTCTCTTCATTCTGTAGGTGGATTTGATTTTCTTTAGATACAGGTGTTTAAAATCTGTTCCAAACTCCCATGAAGACACTCTTGGACATTAAACCGTTGTCCGTGTCCTCAGGAACTTAAGAACACCAAGCATTGTATATTGTTTTATAACCCATAAGACCTACTTATTTCCATTTATCATCTTGTTTTATCCTTACAACAAGCCTAGAATGATCTTTACCTATAAGAGCAGGCTCTATCTGAAGTCAACAGTCTCTCACCTGGAGGACTGCCGGTGTGGCCGTCAGAGCTTGCATAGGTCCCTTGAAAACGAATGTCTGCATAGACTTCCCTTGCAAAATAATTTTATTTTCATAATTTCCCTGCTAAATTTCACGGGTAACAGTAGGTATTATTATGGGCATGGGATGTTTTAGGTTGGGTTCAGCAACCTGCCGCACTTAAGGTCATAAGACCCCACTCTTTTATCCTCGTTTTCCATCCTTTTTCTTCCTCTCAGTCCTTTGTCTTCTTCCTTTGCTGCTTATCCTTTATGTTTTTAATGGCATTGAGAGTTCTTGATAACGTGCATGGAGGTTCTGGCAAGGAAACACAGCTGCACAAATACTACAAAGAGGGAGCAACTCAACATGAGAAGGGCCACCTCTTTGACCAAAAAAAAAAAAAAAAAAAAAAAAGCTATTTGAGGAAGGGTTTACCCAGAAAGGCCCAGGCCCATCAGCCAGCTACCGGCCAGCGAGTCAGCCACCTCTGCCTGGCAGAGCAGTGGGGTGGTAGACAGTGCGGCAAGTTGTGCTAGCCCTCGGTAAGTTTCTGATCGTTTCCGCTGCCTAAAGGGTTAGCACTGTTACAGCACACTTCAAAGCAGGTTTTGAGGAAATCAGACCATCACAAGCAACCAGTCTTCACCAAACATGTCTATGGAAGGCAGCAAGGTAAATAATGAAACACAACTCTATCCTAAAAGAACTTGCAGTTGGATACAAAAATATGCAAGAGGGGAGACAAGGAATTATATTGGCTATTTGAGAAAAAGCAAACAAACCCAAACTTCCTGGAGAAAGCTTGACTTAAATCAACAACTGAAAAGAGGGAAAGGTAAGTTAAATTTTTTTTAACTTCTATTGTGTTTATACCAGGAACCAACTCATTGTACATATATTAATGCATACATACATACATAAAAAGGGGAAGCAAAAAGGAAAAATTTAATTTTTTAAACAAAACTATTTTTATTTCATTCTTTTCTTTCAGTAATTCTTATTTTTAATTGAAGTGTAGTTGACACACAATGTTACATTAGTTTCAGGTGTATAACATAGTGATTCAACAACTCTATATTATGTCTATATTATGTGTACACCACAAGTGTAGTTACCATCTGTCTCCATACAATGCTATTACAATGACATTGACTATATTCCCCATGCTGTATCTTTTACCCCCATGACTTATTCATTTCATAAAGGAAGCCTGTATCTCCCACTCCCCCTCACCCAGACTGCCCATACTGCCCATCTCCCTACCCCTTTCCCCTCTGGGAACTCTCACCTTGTTTTCTGTATTTATAGCTCTGATTCAGCTTTTTATTTGTTTGTTTATTCATTTGTTTTACTTTTAAGATTCCACATGTAAGTGAAATCATATGGTATTTATCTTTCTTTGTCTGACTTATTTCACTTAGCATTTATAATTTCTAGGTCCATCAATGTTGTCATAAATTGCAGGATCTCATTTTTTTCCTGGCTGAGTAATAATATTCCATTGTGTGTGTGTATGTATTTATATATATATGTATATATATATCTATATCTATCTATCTATATATCTTCTTTACCCAATATTATCTATTGATGGACACTTGGGCTGCTTCCATATCTTGGCTACTATAAATAATGCTGCAATAAACATAGGAGTTTTTGAATTTGTCTGTTCATTTACTTTGGGTAAATACCCAGTAATAGAATTACTGGATTATATGTTATTTCTATTTTTAATTTTCCGAGGAAACTCTTTACTGTTTTCCATAGTGGCTGCATCAATTTACATTCCCACCGACAGAGTACAGGTCGGTCTCTCACCTCTTTCCCAACACCATTTGTTGAAGAGACTTTCCTTGCAGCTTAAATTTTTTTTTCTTTGTCACATTTTGCCATTTTAATTATAATATGTCTTGGGTAGATCTGCTTTTGTTGATTTTGTCGGGGTTCTCTGCGCCTCCTAGATCTGGATATCTGTTTACTTCCCCAGATTAGGGAAGTTTTCAGCTATTATCTCTTTAAATATATTTTCTGCCCTCCTTTCTCTCTCTTCTTCTGGGACTCCTATGATGCAAATGTTATTATGTTTGGTGGAGTCACTGAGTTCCTCAAGTCTATTCTTGTAATTCATAAGTTTCTTTTTCAGCTTGATTACTTTCCATTACCCTGTCTTCTAGGTCATTAGTTCATTCCTCTGCTTCTTCCAGCCTGCTGTTCATTCCATCAAGTGTGCTTCTCATTTTGTTTATTGAGCCCTTTATCTCTGCTATGTTATCCCTTATCTCTGTGTTAAGAGTCTAACTCATGTCTTTCACTCTTTTCTCAAGTCCAGAGAGTATCCTTATGTTCATTGCTTTAAATTCTCTATCAGGCATGTTACTTATATCTGTTTCACTTAGATCTCTGGCCATGGCCTTGTCCTGTTCTTTCATTTGGGACAAATTCCTCTCTTCTCATTTTGTCTAAGTCTCTGTGCCTGCTTCTCTGTGTTAGGAAAGTCAGCTACTTTTCCTGTTGTTGACAGTAATGGCCTTATTAAGAAGAGGACTTGTACCCTGCAGTGTAGTGTCTCCTGTTTCCCAGGGCTTGTCACTACAGGGAGTGTCTCCAATATGTGCTTTGTGTGCTCAGCAGTTGTGCCTTGGCTGCTTTACCCTTCAGGGCAGTCATCTGCAGAGGATGTCCTTGCCTGTTGTGGGCAATGTTTGGTCCCTGGCCTGAATGTGGTGGGTCTTAACTAGGTAGGCTTGGTCTACTTGTGAAATGAGACCTGTCACTATTGCTGCTGGAACTGAGGTCCTGCAAAACTCCTGGGTCAGGAGACATGGTGTGGGCAGGGGTTTGGGCTGGTCTATCTGGGGGCAGGGGCCCTCCATGCTGGGACTGAGGCAAGCGTGACTAAGAAGGGTGTTCCACCAGAGCATGAGGGTTGGGTCTTGGTTTTAGCAACTTAGGTAGTGAGTGCCCATTCTGCCCTGGTTCCTGCAGGCAGGTCTGTGTTTATGCTGAGGGGTGTGGGATGGAAATGGTGCCTGCCAGTTCCTTTGTTCCTGGAGGGGTATCTCTATTAATGCTACCTTTCTGGGACATGATCTGAGATGAGCAAATAACCTCCCCACTGTTTGCCCTAGGTATTTTTCAGATTACTGTCTCCACACTGTATGTCTGCAGGCTGTTTGCTCTGCCTTCTCTCCAAAAGCAACTCTAATGCCTCTGGGCTTTCCCTGAGCAAGCCCAATGACCTTTAGAACTCCAGGCTTTAAGCCCCACCGGTTGCAAGAACTCACAAAATTTGGCCCCTCTCACTTTCCAAGCCAATTGTTATGGGGATTCATTTTCTCCTTGCATTCCCCTGTATGTTAGTTTGTCCCTTGCCATTCTTCACAACTGTGACTCCCTCCCCACTGCAGCAGCCATGATCTGTTTCTCTCCCAAACCATGTCTCTGCACTTCCTACCTTCTTCAGTGTGGCCTCTTCTCTACCTTTAGTTGTGGAGTTTGTTCTTTCAGTCTTCAGGTTGATTTCTGGGGTATTTAGGATTTGATAGTTATCTAGCTGTATTCACAGGATGAAGTGAACCTAGGGTCATCCTACTCTGCTGCCATCTTCTTGGACTCCAAGTTGTAGATATTAATTCCTTATCGGATATATAATTTGCAAGTATCTTCACTAGGTTGCCTTTTTAAAATTTTATTTGCTATGCAAAAGTTTTTTATTTTCATGTAGTCATTTACTTTTGCTTTTGTTTCCCTTGCCTGAGGAGACATAGCCATAAATATGTTGCTAAGGCTGATGTCCAAAAATGCACTGCTTACATTTTCCTTTAGGAGTTCTATGGTTTCCAGCTTCACATTTAGGTCTTTAATCCATTTTGAGTTTGTTTTTTTGTGTGGTGTAAGAAAGAGGTCCAGTTTCATTCTTTTGCATGCAGCTATCTAGTTTTTCCAACATCATTGATTGAAAAGACTGTCTTTCC